TGCACATTTTCTCCCACAAAATTTATAAACTCATAAAATTATAAAAATGCTGATTCTCTCAGAAAACATAAGAAACAGGGAAAGCAGAGCTTAGGTATCGTCATAAAACATTATGTTATCAATGTTATATTTAATAATTTTTTTGTCTTCTATCTTAGATTTATTCATTCAATAAGTATTTGTTTATTACCTACGATGTATCGGGCACTGTGGAAGTTCTTAAATCAGCTAACTACAGAATAGTTAACTGAAACAACTTACTGCTTAGTGATTATTTGTCAAAATCTTGTTTTTCATGACTTAACCTATTGATTTAACCTATGAACACTTAAACATATAGAGGCCCAGGTACAGTCACTATATCCTAGTATTATAGATCATTATGATGAATGATGTATTAAAGGAGGGAAAATATAGAGCAAAGTGAAGAATAAGAAATATGATAGGAAACAATAATAAAAACCAACCTTTACTGAATTCTTACTATGTGTTGGGTGTTATGTTAAATTCTTAAGAGGTATTTGTGCCATTTTATCCTCAAAACCCTATGAAATTTCCCTTCATTTTGAAGGCAAAGAAAATAAAGCTCAGAGAGATAAGTTACTTGCCCCTGACCAAACAATTATTAAGTTGGAGATTATTATTATCTAGGCCAGCTGATTGTAGAATCACACTCTGTCCTTCCTCTGTAATTGTAAGATGATAGCTGTGAAAATACTAAGTCAGACTTCACACCTGTTGCAAGACTGCCTGTTCAGCACTGAAAACAGAGATTAAACAGATGGTCCCAGGAAGAGGTGGAAAAAGATAATAAGGGACAGGCTATCCTTCCTTTTCCCAGGAATTTCCAAATCTCAGTCCACCTTTCAACTAAGGATTTGTTGACATTGGATTAAAATTAAGAATAAAATTTATATTGGTATGTTTGTGTAGTTAGATAAACAAGTACTCAAAATAATGGTACCATAGAGAAAAGTCAGGAACTTGCATACTTCATGCAATATTTTAGGGTCTAAAGCCTTGGAGACGCACTCCTAAAGGATGGAATACAAAGTTGACTTTCTAAATATATTAGACATTAGATAAGAATGTGTATTTTTAATAGTGGTCTGTATTTCTATATAAACCTTCAGATACAAGAAAATAGGGTTATCAATGTCTTTGGCAGTACTGATAGGCTATTCAAAGCTAAAGCAGATGATACTTGGGATTTTCTATTGTATTGTTACACTTGTTTTTCATACTCATGAATAAGATAGTTACTTAAGATACAAAATGGCCTGTCATATATTTTTCATGCTTTTATATTATACTAGTGGCCTGAAGCATGAATGAAGATTCGTGCAAGAATGGGCCTTCATTCCCCTGGCTGTTGGCACTGCCTTCACTCTGGCTGGAGCAGCCTTTCCACTCTGGCCCAGAGCTGCCTTTTTGCCTTCCCACAATGCCCAGAGGCCCAGAGTGGCTGAGGTGGTACAGAATGCCTGCATTGTCATAATGATGACTCAAGCGTTACACCCTGTTCCCTCTGCTCAGTGCCTGCTTATGCAAATCAACCCACCATCTTTGTTGGGTTAATTTGCATACTCATTTCTGATTGGCTGGTGGACATTGTGAAGGTACAGTCAATTAGCATGCTACCCTTTTATTAGGTAGATAATGATTTGAAACCATCTCAGTCATGAGAGAAGTTATCTGAATTTGAAGATGAAATGATTAAATAAACAACCAAATCAGACTGTATTAAGGAAACATAACATGATCCATGCTATAATCAATAGATCAAACTCACATTTGATAAACCTAACTTTCAGTTGTGTTTCCAAAAACTCAATAGTTGAACATCCTGAAGTCTTACTTGACAGAGCAACCTTTTTCTTTATTTTCAGCAGATTCTGAACAGGTATCCAAAAATAAATCTGAATATTGCTTTGACCTTTTCAAAGCAGAAGCATTTGAAACACATATCTGACCAATGCAAATTATAATTTTTTAAAAGATATTGCCTCTTAGCCAACAAAAATACCACTGAAATCACAACTCTCTTTTAAAAACAATATGCTGTATACAACCAGACCTATTTAATATTCTTTGAACATATAATTTGGTCTACTTATTTTTTTTTAAATATTTTGTTTTTGTTTTGCTTTTGCTGATCCACCAATCATTTTTCCCACTCAAGTCCTTTGCCATCTGAAAATTAGGTTTTGAAAACTATATTTCAATTAATCATTCCCAAAATGAATTCCCAAATATCAACATTTTCTAATAATGTATTCTTCATGGTCCACTAATGAGTTATAAAAATGAAATGACTGTTTTGCTCTGTGTTGTCATCTCCACCCCCACACCCCATCCAAGAAAAATGAACAAAAAATACTTACAATGGTTCTTAGCCAGGAGCATTTTATCCCTTATTCACTAGTGGTAAATGAGTCAGATATGAGTTGGCCAGGAAAAGAGCTGTTTTACCCAAAATCTTAGTATAAAATGAGTCATCTCACTCCAAACACCAATATATCCTCCAAAATAACTGGCAAGAATATCCTATAAAAAGAATCTTGCCTTCACCCTTTTCCATCCATTTAACTCTCTGATTTTTCTAATTTTTTCAATTTCCTGTATACTTAGAACACTGCATTCATAACAAAGGCCCAATAATATATCCACCTTTCTGTTTCATTCTGAAAGTCATCTTTCCTATATTGAGTAGGGGGACAATTCAGATAGTATTCCCCTGAAAAGGAATAAATGCTCAGTGGCTTTCATTGTTTCTCTCTGACTCTGATGAAATCCATGCATGGTTCACTAGCAATGCAAAAGCCAGTTTTAGAATATTTTTTTCCTTTGTTGAAACAGTGAGTTCAAAGCCATAGAAAATATTTCAAGCAAAACCATTTTCCTTCCCACAAGAGAAATCAATCAAAATTGATAATCTGTCTAAAACTGATAAACAAATAAGAGATGGGGCAGCAAATGTCAGTTCTGTTTCCTTGTATGTCAAAACATTCACATTACCATTCCCATTCTCTCTCTGTCATGAGATGGAGGTAAAAAATCACTGTGAACTGAAGCCAGGGCTTAGTCCTTCTGGATTAGAAGAAGTCAGGCACCCTGTTTATATAGGTAAACAAGCACACGTACAGAGCTTAATCCTGCCTAAGTGCTCAGATTTTCCATTACATAGGGCTCATAAAATGACTGATTATTATTTCTTAAAAATTAATTTTATTTACTTATTTAATCCTCACCTCATGATATGTTTTTATTGATGAGAGACAGAGAGAGAGAGAGAGAGAGAGAGAGAGAGAGAGAGAGAGAGAGAGAGAGAGAGAAAGAGAGAGAGAGAAACATGGATGTGAGAGAGAAACATGGATTGGTTGCCTCTCATATGTGCCCTATCTAGCGATTGAACCCAAAACCTAAGTATGTGTCCAGACCTGGAACTGAACCTGCAAATTTTTGGTGTATGGATGATGCTCCAATCAATTGAGCTACCCAACCTGGGCATTGTTATTCTTAATTACTCTAAAAGCTGCAATTTAATGGGCAAAATTACTTATAATTCATTCCACTCAGGCTGGAATTTAGTTTCATTTCTCTATATTAAGTGAATTCTCAAGCATTGCTATTCTCTTTTTATTATCCAACACTAACAGATGCTAGTTCCTTCAGTTTTATAGCCCTCAAATGACAGACACTAGCTGGATTTGGCCTTGGGAATAATTGCAATGCCTTTGGATTATGAACTTGGTTCAGTTCTTAGCTGGGAACGGTGGGGGGTTAGTTCATATTATCAAAGACATAAAATAAGTTTTCCCTTATGTTGCAGATGCCCATATGATGCTGCCTTTTCATACAGTATTGTGCGACTTTTCTTTCCCTGCTGGTATTTAAATGGTTATGGGAAGAAAAAATAAAAGTGAAATCCCCTATTCAGTGTATCTCCTGATCTTGACCAAAACAAGATGTTAAATCCATTAAACTCTGAATGCTCAGTAAAATAAAGAAAACTAAAACTGTTCAAATTTGTGCATTCTTGGGAAAATTGCCAATGTATGTACTAGTAGCAGGATAGGTGTAATTAATGGTGATGTTATTTACAGAGGGAGTCTGATTTCATTCTCTTGAGCAATTTTCAAGTGCAAACTGTTCAAACTGAGGTACTGGGGATTTGAAGTCAGCTGTAGAAAGCACCAATATTCATTGATGGACATTTGTGGTATCTTTGATCATAGTAGACTCAAAAAAAATTCTGCCTACAGCATTGTCTGTAGGATAATGCGATGGACACCAAAATGCATACACCAATAACATTTCTTAAAAGGAAAATTAGCAAATGCAATCTTACTAGTACGTCAACCTAATCCCCCCCCCCCCCAAAGCTCTATTCATTCATATAAGAACTAACTGAAATCAATCCCTTCTTATATACTGTGAAATAAAATCAGACCCAAGACCACACTTTTCCTTTACGTTTCTTTCTCCTTTGGAGGCAATTTCCATCTTTATCTAATTGTTGAACCTCAACAACAGTCATATAAGAGCTTGTATGTATATAGGCGATCCAACTGACTAACAATACCTCCAACTTCTACTCTCTTTTTCTGTTGGTTATATCAGTGATTTCAAAAGGATGAGAGAACAAAGAGCACATCTGGATAAACATAGATAACTAGGGATAGAAGTTAAGCCCATAGGCAGCTCTTTCTGTAATAATCTGCACAAAATTATCCAACAAGAAGTGATTTTTCTCACCATCTATCTCATCCCTGCTATTTGGCTGTGAACTGCAACCACATGCTCCAGCTCACGTTTCCCAGGAAAAAGGAAATAAATTGAATGAATTCTTGACAGCAGACAGCATGTGCCGGGGCATCTGAGACAGGTGGTGGAAGGGGAGGAGACAGGTGAGGGGAAGTCTGGAGAGGGGTTCAGGAACGTGAATGCTGAGCCTGGAGGTTACTGACCTTAATGATTGCCCCATGCTGGATCCCTACCTGCTGTCTTCTTGAGCGAAGGGCTGTTCCACATCCACCGTCAGGGAGGCCAGGGCAGAAACGGTGTCTGTCTCCTCTTGCAACTGAGCCCCAGCCAAAGCACAGCCCCTTGGCACAGCTGCCGTTCTTACTGACTTCCAGTACTTGCCTAGGAAAACACACACATGTATCACACTTTATTGGGATTTTACCTAGAGCAGTATTAATCAGAATACTCATCGAGGTCCAACTCAGAGTAGCTGTTAAGTTAAAATTCACCATGCTATATACATGGTTGTAATTGGGTTTCTTAACCGTTATGACTTAAGTCTTTGACTCAATCTAAGAATGCCAAATTGTTAAGTGCTCATATGCCCAACTTGGAGTCGCTGCCTTGCTCAGAAGGTAATAAGTGAGGAATAATCCAGGCCTAATGAACTCACTCTCAGATTGACAGCTGTCTCTGCAACTAACGAAGCAAATTCTGGGCACTGTGCCCCCCTGGGAAGCCTTCAAGAGACCAGGAGGTAGAAGTCTCAGGAGAAACTGAATGAAATAGTAATGTTGAAAATTGCTACTTGAGCCATTAACTTTTTTTAATGAGGTTGGAATATTAAAGAAAAAGAAAAGCCCAGAAATGCCAGCATGAATCGAATGGCAACTTTGCCAGAACAATCAGGTTTGTTAGTCCTGGATGTTCTTTCTTTCTTAACCCCAGGGTATGTACTAGAACAATAATTGATTTAAAACTTTAATATATGCACTGGCTGCCCTTGGAACCCTTCCATATGTCACAGGGATACGGGGATGGTTCTTTTTTTTTTTTTTTTTTTTGAAGCAGGGAAAGAATGAGAGGAAAATAGGAGGTCATTTCATGAGAACATGCCAGTGGGATACATATGAAAGACAGAGTTAATGACCTTCTTGAAGCCCTTGAGCTATTTTGGGGGAATGTTTTGTCACCCCAAATCAAAGTAGGAGAATCGCCCTGGGTGCTAACATGACTTACCAGGTTAGAACTACTTCTGCAGCCTGACCAATGAGGCAGAAAGTTGGCATATATTGTTTCCTTAGTTACAAAACACACACACACACACACACACACACACAGAGAGAGAGAGAGAGAGAGAGAGAGAGAGAGAGAGAGAGAGAGAGAGAGAGAGAGAGAGAGAGAGAACAACAAAACAAAACAAGTTCCACCAGGAAAGAAAGGCAAATGGATAAACACTGGATTGGAAAACAAGGGATTGGAAAGAAAGATAACTGGGTTCTGGACCCAGCACCACCTCATGGTGACAATGCTCTCTGGCACTTTATATTGGCTTCTCAGAGCAAGAGGATGGCCTCAAACCCCTTCCAGCTCTTACTAACATTTCAAGATTGACCTTTCCTCATCTTCCTGCTCACAGAGAAATGAATGTCCTGTCAGGGAAGGAGACCCAGTCTCCCAGCTTCTCACATAGTTGTCTACTGCTAGGATCACCTGGTCTGACCAAAATATGAGACTCATAAAGCTTTTAATTTAGACCACATCACAGCAGTTTTAACTATGAATGAACTCACACAGTATTTTTTGAAAGCTAAGGTTGTACCACATGTTTAGGACACAATGATGCTTCCTTGGCATCAAGCAACTCACGGTCAAGTTGAAATGGTGCTTTTAGTAAACAACCAATGACAATTTTGTGTAAAAAGGACCCATGTGTTCTGGAGAGGAAATAAGTCGAACATATGATGACGGGAAGGTGAGAGAAGACTTGCCAGAAAAAATAACACTTGACTGAGTATTTGAGAGACCATCAGAATTTAGTCAAGCTGAAAGAGATGGAGGTGGTGATGATGAGGTATCCTTGGAAAATAAAACACTGTATACAAATAAGCAGAAACTTGAGTTTCTGTAGATTATTGGGGTACAAAGTCTACTGCCAGGCATAACTGGAACATAGAAAAAGTCTGGATGTGATGAAGGATACTGCTGGGTAATTAACACACAATCTTGAATAACATGCCAATAATTTTGGACTTCACCTTGTAGGTGTGAGGGCCATCTTAAGTAGAAGATGTAGGAAATCAAATTTAAGTTTGTAACAGAGCCTTCTGGAGAGATGATGGATGATAGATTAGAAGGTGAGGAGAGTGGTGGCAGGAAACCAATTTCATAGCTTGGCAAAAGTCCAGGGGAAAATGATTTCTAAATGAAAAGGAAATGACAAAATAGAAATGAGGAGGGCCTAAAGAGAGGTTTAGGAGGTAGGCAATGAAAATGTACCTTGGCTTATTCTTCAGTCTCTCCCTCCTCCCACCTCTCTCAACTATGAAAGATGACCCTGAATTGACAGTTCTATGACAAGATTCTAACTTCTCTAGGTCACTGTGTGTTGGGTTGGAAATGGTGTGTTCTGTCTATAAGTGCATTCAGTTGTACTGAGTTTCAAAAAGTATTGTTATTAAACACTATTTTAGCTCATGAAGCTGGTGATGCTGAATGACAGCTTTCCCTTTTCACTGGAGTGACTAACATGGGCCCCTGACAAACAGGGAGCTGGTGTTTTATGGGTTAAATTATGTCATAAACATTACAGGAAAGAGAAACTGCTATGACTGAGCTCTGATTATGTGCCAAGGGTTGTGCTAGGTGTTTTCATATTTAGAATTTCATTTAATCCTCATGACTGGGTTGGCAATGTTAGATAATTTTTTTCTAAGGTTACATGGCTAGCAAACAGAGGAGCTGAAACCCTCAATTAGGACTGCATGACTCCAAAATGTCTCTTTCTCTGTATTCTGTGGTTGTCCATTATTTTATCCTCTTCTACCCTCCTCCTCCTCCATATAAAAATAGGGAGATGGACTCAGTATATGAAATTTCAACTTAAAATTTTTACACATTGCAAATTAATTATATATAATCTTTATAAAGGTAAATTACAGTTATCCTTTCCTTAGATATGACCCAGTCAATCTATCTTTTATTGGCTTAATGGCATGGGTTTCTTGCATCAAATGAGACAACCATGTAGAGACTAATCTTTTTGCTGTTTCTTTCTCATAACCTAATACTATTGCAAGCATGTAATTACCAGATATAAGGCATTGACAAAGCTCATATAAAACTGGAGATAAGTGCTTGCTAATTAAAGAGTATTGATAAGTCTGTCAAAGATAGAGCCCCGAAGTAAAAGTCATGGTTTTCAGATTGGAGAGTCCTTCTGAGTCCCAGAGAAAATGTTTTGGTCACTCTGGGAAACATTTTTTACAATTATAAAATGACTAGAGGCCCAGTGCACGAGATTTGTGCATGGGGTGTGTGTCCCTCAGCCCAGCCTTCACCCTCTCCAATATGAGACCCATCTAGGGATGTCCAACTCCCTATGTAGGTTGATCCTACTGCCCGTTTGGGGGAGTCAGACATCCTTCTCACAATCCAGGACTGCTGGCTCTCAACTGCTCCCCTGCCTTCCTTCCTAATTGCCTCTAACCGCTTCTGCCTGCCAGCCTGATCATCCCCTACCCACTACCCTGCCTGCCTGATTGATGCCTAACTGCTCCCCTGCAAGCCTGATTGCCCCTAACTGCCCTCCTCTGAAGGCCTGGTCACCCCTAACTGCCCTCCCTGTAGGCCTGGTCCCTCCAACTGCTCTCCCCTGCAGCCTTGGATCCCCCAACTGCCCTTCCCTGCAGGCTTCTTCTCAACTTCTCTCCTCTGCCAACCCCTAACTGCCCTCCCCTGCAGGCTTGATTGCCCCCAACTGCCTTCCCCTGAAGACCTGATCCCTCCCAACTGCCCTCCCCTGCTGGCCATCTTGTGGCAGCCATTTTGTATCCATATGGGGGAAGCCATCTTTGACCACATGGAGGCAGCCATCTTATGTGTTGGAGTGACAGTCAATTTGCATAGTATTCTTTTATTAGATAGGATAGGCTGGGTGATGACAATGAAAGGTCTCTTTCTGCTCTAATTCTCAACAACTGTGATTCTTTTGATCTCACATTATGAATCACTTTTGGATATTATAATAAATTTATTACAGCAGAAAATATTACTTTTCTGTTGGCTTATGAACCCTTGAAGAGGTCAGCAAACATTTTTAGATAACGTGGCACATCTAGAATAACCATTGGCTTTCATTTGCAAGTACTGTACTTTTTCTCCAAGAAGAGATCTTTTGGTTTTAAGACAAAACAAACATCTTTATCCCAAAATACAATCAGGTCAGAAAGTATGAACCATTAATAACAATCTCTCAGCAGAATGACTGACATGATCTTTATGTATGTGAATAGTACAACAATTTTTAAATGGCCAAGACCTTTTTGAATAAAATATGATGTGTATAAAATATCCTGCTAAGTTAAGAATAAATATTAGAAGTTTGGCTCTTATCCAGATGTATATGAGGTTCTTGACTCAGAAATAACCCTAAACTTTAAATTCAATATGGCCTCTGGCAAAGCCTATAAAAACAAGGGAAATATTCTGCATTAATAATGCATTTATAAACCACTATCTCTATCTGTAAAGGAGAATAATTAAAGTATGCATAGCACTGGTTGAAATATGCAGCCAATTCAAACCCCACAATTTATGGGTTATATTTTCAAACAATGGGTATAATTTTGTTTTTTCAAATCATATAAGTTGACATGGGAATCATATGCCTATTAGAACATAAGAGAAATGAACCAAGGATTATTAATAGAGTTTTCAGGAGCTGTTTATTCCTAAAGTAAAATACTAGTAGCCAGCCACCACTGGGTTGCTCTCCTAAGGTAATAAAGTTGGTAAAAGAGTTTTCCATTAAAACCAGACAGGCACACTCCCTCTTTGGTCATATCCTCTATCTTTATTCATTTTCCCTACTGTGTAATCTCCCCACTTTAAAAAAAAAAATATATTTTATTGATTTTTGTATAGAGAGGAAGGGAGAGAGATAGAGAGCTAGAAACATGGATGAGAGAGAGTCATCGAACAGCTGCCTCTTGCACACCCCCTACTGAGAATATGCCTGTAACCAAGGTACGTGCTCTTGATCAGAATCGAACCTGGGTCCCTTCAGTCCCCAAGCCGATACTCTATCCATTGAGCCAAACCGGTCTAGGCAATCTCCCCACTTTTCATCACTATTTTCTCTTTTGGACGATCAGTCTTCATTATTCTGCTTTTATGTT